AACTCTATCAGTGTTGAGCACTTAGACTGCAAAAAATGATTCTGCAGGTAGAAACTAAAAGCACACAGGCAGGTGTGCCCCCTCTTCTGAAACAGTGATTGAAATCCTCTCAAGTCATGAACCTGATGTAGAGACAAACAGACCTGCAGATTCAGGTACGCGCTATTAAAAAGTGATAAAGCACCACAGGAACAAGCACCTGCAGCATAGCCTCAGATCCATGTGATCCAGCACACTTACAAATCTTATACTTACTACAGGGGTTGGCAACATGTGGCCCGTAGGCCAGATCTGGCCAGTAGAGCCTCTGGTGTCCAGGAAGCAGGGGCCTTTGCCCACCCCCACATCCATGTTGCACACTGAGGAGCTGCACCAGGGCTGGGCAACTGGGAGCTGTGCCCACGCTGCTGCCACTCCCCAGCTGCAGTGCAGTGCAGGTGCAGCTTCCAGCCCCCCAGCCCTGGCACAGCACCCCACCAGCCAATGTGGCCCCTGCTGCCTGAACCCCACCAAAGCCCCCATCACTAACATGCTGCCAGAGCCCTCTGGCCCATGCTGCATTGGAGCCGAGTTGTTCCAGCCCATGGTTTAGCTGGACGAACTATGTCAGTGATTCTCAGCCAGGATGCTGTGGCAACCTGGCTTGCCTTGAGACTCTTTCAAGGGTGCCACAGGGGCCACGCAATGTTATCTGTGCAAACATGACTTACAAGATAAATCCAGAGGTTTCCAACATGAATCTAGTGCATCACTGATCTGTTGCTGTGGTCTGTCCGAGTTCTTCACAATGGAAGAATTGCTCCATTATTTTCCAGTAGTCAAAAAACAAATGAAAACAAAGAGTCGGCATTTTTCGAGGGGTGGCTTGAACCCATTGAGGTTGAGCACCATGGTACTATGGTTAGAAACGTACAAATGGGATGAAATGTAATAGTACAGAATGCAAGGTCATGCATTTAGGGGATAAAAACAAGGATTTCTGCCCTAGGCATGGGCTCATCGTTGAGAAGCAACGGTGGAGGAGAGAGACTGGAAAGACTTACATAATTATAGGGTAACTATAAGCCACCAACATTTTGCAGCCAGGAGAAGGCTCCACAATCTCAGGATTGCATCTGCCCAAGCATTTCCATTTGGGGTAATGAAGTGCTGATGCAACTGTCCAAGGCAATTGCAAGATCAGCCTGGATTTACTGGAGCCAGTTTTGGTCATCCTTGTTCACAAAAGATGAATTCAAACTGGAGCAAGTGCAGAGACAGGCTGTGAGGATGAGCAGAGGAACGGGAAGCCAACTGGATGGGAGAAGACTAGAAGTGCCTTGCTTAACTAACCAAGCAAAACAAAGGCTGAGGGGGGCTAAGGCTGCCCTGGCTAAAAACACTGGGGGGTGGAAGAAATATGGTCGTGTTAGAACCAGGACAAACGGGTGCTGAATACATCTGGGCTAGAAATCAGAAGGCTCCTCTCCAGCCTGAAACATGAGTTTCTGGAAGAGCCTCCCAGCAGGAGCCATGGGGAAGAAAACCCTAACTGGTATGGAGATGGAGGCTGATCCACGATGCGAGGGATCAGGGGCGATGCATAGGGGGTGCATGTGCAACCCCTGCGCATGGTGGCGGTATCTGTGGGCAGTCCATGATCACCCCTGGCCACTGCTGATGGCATCTGCAGGTGGTCGCCGACCCGTGGTTGGTGCTCGCCACCCCTTCCCCCCATTGCCGACAGTGCCGGCGGTGTCTGCGGGAGCTCCCTGCTCTCCACTGCTGAGCTCCCGCCACTGCCGGCACAGCCGTGCCCCACCAGCCGCCAGGGGCACGTGGCATTCATGCAAGGGATTGTCTGAGGAGGTTGCCTGCAGGGAACAGACCTCAGTGACCCAGAAGGCCCCTGCTAGTCTGGTTTCCTAGGTTTCTTAAAATGCTGCCATCTTCAACCTGGGCAGACTGTTAGTGATGAACATGATGTTCCTTAGCATGAGCAAGCTGCAAGGGCCTGAGTTTTGCTGGCTGTTCCTTCACTGCTGTGGTTTGAACACGTTTCTGCCAATGCCTTGCTCACAAAATGCTCCTTGGCTGTCTTCATTCAGCCTTTGCTGCTTCTTTTTTTCTTTTTTCTCGTCCAACCTGTGCATTTCCTAAAACCACATGTAGCTTGTCCATGCCCTGAGTTGTGAGGTTCAGATGACCACCGCATTGTGAGTTTCAGGGGACAGGATACCAGCAAGTGTGTCACTACACATAGGACAAGGGGGCTCCCCTGCACCCCCAGCGATAATTCAGTAGCTACGACTGCTGCACAGAGGTTACACAGCAGTTTGAAAGGCTTTCAAAACCCTAAGAGGGTTGAGATATTTTTTCTGAGTATTACTCAGCTTGCTCCTGTTTATTTACTCACTGCCAGATGAGGCACTAATGTGCTTCCTTGTTTGTCCTGGTCAAGCCACCCCTGCTGCACACTCGCAAGCCTGCTGTGTCAGGGTCTCATGCTGGGCCCAGGTGCCTTTGCTTTGAGTTGGCTCAGTTCAGCAAAGCCTCAGGACCTGTGCCGACCCCTCCATCCCCGAGACTCCACACTAGTTTAAGCTCCTTCCTTAGAGGTCTACCTTGCGGGCTGTCTGGCCTGCAGTTCACCTCTTCAGGGAAAAGGGTTGTGCAAAGGTTTCCAAACCCAACCAGCCTTCACTTTGCCCAGCCTCAGAAATCCACCACCACAAACAAAACAGTCAAACTCCTGGACATATTTTCCTGCCTCAGGGTCTTCGTTAGTCTCAGGCATTCTTTGGTCAGTCACCCAAAGCAGCGGGTCTCAGTCCCTTCAGCCCTGGTCCAGTGCCAACCCTCCCTCCCCGCACCACGCCAGAGCACTTCCAGCACACACTGACAGCACCGACTTTGGCACCAGCCACAACCATATTCAAGCAAGTATAGCAAGGGGAGAGAGAGGAGGCGAAGCAACAGCTGGTGCTGCCAACCTTTTCTACAGGCACCTAGTGGTTAGAGCAGTTGGCCAGGAAGCAGGAGATCTAGGTCCTAGCCCTCCTCTGCCTTGGCTTGCTAGGCCAGGTAGGGCACCCCCACCTTTCCATGGAGACCAGTAGTTGGCCAAGAAAAATGATCAGGAGAGGGCAGGCAAGAAGCAACTTGACCCATAGCCTCATGACTAGGCTCCAGTTCTTGCTCCTTGGGCTTTTTGTGCCCTCTGCATTTCTATCACTGGATCAAAAACAAGAAATATCCTGAGAGCAGGGACAAAGCCCAGAAAGCCCTCTCTGCCAGTGCCCCGACCACAACACTATAGTCAGGCTCTCTCTTCCTCTGTCTCCCCGTGGCCACAGGACTCCTGTTTTCTTTGCTACACAGCTGCCCCTCTCCTTGTAGCACTCTTGAACTGCACTGTCTGCAGCAGGGCATAGGGGAAGAAGCAGGGGGTGGGGAATGGAGCCAGATGTAGGATATCAGTCACATATTGCAAAGCCACATGGAGCTCTAAACCTGATAGACTATGCAATGGGGAGACACAATGCCCCCAGCTCATCCCTCCAAATCAGAGACCCCCAGGAGAGACAGGGTGAGTTTGTTTCCCTCCTCCTTTGGGGATGTAGAAACCAGACAGGGCAGCATTTCTCCTCAGTGCTCCCTGTCCCTTCCTCCCACCCCAATCTTTTACCCTCATCCAGCATTTCCCTTCTTACTCCCTCTCTAGTTTGCACGTCCTCTGTTTTTTACCCATTTCGTGATGATACACACCACCTGGAGCAACTTTTGTGTGCAGAAAACCCAACATCTTACACCCACATGGCACTGGCAATGAACAGGTAGGAATCTACTGCAGGGCCAGCACAGACTTGGAGCTTCCAGCCCCAGGACCTGGTCCAAGGGGACCTTAGGTAGCTGTGTACTGAATCACTTTCCAAACCTGGCACAAGGCAAACACTGTGCCATGTCTTCTACTCATCCTACTTCAGCAAAAACCAAATGTCTTCCCACCCCAGGGATATGTAGACAAAGCTTCTCTAGCCCTTAATCCAGTCTCTGCTTCAAATCACAAAGTGCTAATTGTTTGCAAGCTCTCCCTCTCCCCCCCAGTCTATTCAACTGTGGTGCAGGGGTGAGACTTGCATTTTATTTCTTGGAGATGATGCAGCAGCCTACCTGTTGCTCACAGGCTAGATACCAACCAACCTCCCTCTTTGCTTTAATACCATGAGTTTTCTCCCTCCACACACTTAAATAGCTTAGGTCTGCCAAGCTGTAGTTTGCTTATGTTTGTGACTTTGATATTGCAGTATTTTATTTGGACCAAGGGATGCCTATGAGTCTTGGCTGAGGGTCTAAATAATCAAATAAATAGTCAAGTTTTTCCACTAGAAAAAAAAATGAAGTATTTGCCAAAGCCCAATAACAGTTGTGAAGCCTGTTTGAAGCCTGCAAAATGCAATACCCACCTTGGGAGCCTCGTACGATGGAGGATAGGCATGTTCTGCAATGGATGGGATTACAGCAATGTTTCACAGAAACACAGAAAGACCTGAACTCTGCTTGAAACGTTACAAGCAGCGCAGCCCCCCGAACTCCCAGCAAGGACCACAGCAGACTCTTATTGAAACCTTGCTGTCAGAGAAGAACAACATATCCCGCAGGACTAACTAACCCATGAGACATTTTCAGTATGTTCCTTTTTTTTCCCTCCTTTCTCTCAAAGCATCATCTTTGCTGGCCAGGAGATGGTAAAAGGTTTTGATTCAAAAGTGCTCACATACACACTGTTCCCATTATCTGAAATAAGAAGTACATGCAGGTCTGGGTTGGGAGGAGTCTGGGGCTGTCAAGACAAAACATTACCATCTACCACTATACTGCTCTGCCCCCGAGAAGCCTGGGAATATGTTTCACATGAAGGCATTCAGGTCTAATTTATCAACCACACCCTTTAACGATGCTTTAGCACCTGGGGAGCTTGACCCATTTGATTCTCCCGCTGTGCCAAGCACTCTACAAATCTGGTGCAAGAGTTCCCGTCCTACTATCTGGGATAGAAAGACAGACGTAAGGGGTGGACATTACAAGCCAACAGGTGAGGACTGGAAGAAAGTAGGAGAGAAACAGTTAAAAAGGAATAAGAGGTTTCTCTTCAGGCCAGCGATGTGTCCTATTTGGTGTCATTAAGGTCATGCTCATTGCTTGTACTGGGCTCTGAAACTCTGGGTTAATGAGCCTTGGAGAGGTTATGGACTCAAATTTTGGGTGCGGGCCCAACTGCCATATACATGTGTGTGTACATGGCCTCAGTGTCCTGCTTGCCCAGTCCAGGATCTAGTTCAATATCCCAGCCCTCTAAGCAGCTTCAGACAGCTGCCACTTTTTAAATCCCTCATCCCTCAGTCTCTCTGCAGCTGTGTGGTCTTCCAATGATGTCTACTCCTCAACCAAAAATTTAAGGTTCAGAGTACACATCCATCATTAGACCTGGGGTGTCTAACTATGCCAAACGACACATCATAAACTCCAGAAATTCAGAGTTAAGGTTAAACGATAGAGGAAATCCAAATATGTTAGGTATGGAAATACATAATTAGGGGAGCGTTAGGATTATTTTGCTGGCCTGTAATTGCACCGTGCAGCAATTGAAAGTTTATAATAGAAGCAAAGTAGTGTTGGGTCTGCGGCCACAAATTGGAATTAAATTCATTTCCACAAGTCTTTCAGTCAGGAAAAGCAGACAGGAGGAGTTACTACCTAATGCCTCTTCAGACATATCCTATGCACAAGGCTTCCATGAGTTTTAACTGTGATTATTCTATTAAGATCACTTAGGAAGGGGGAAAAACAGTTTGACGCTAAGTAGTAAATTTCTTAAGGGCCGAATCACGTTTAATTCAAACTAACAAATTGGTCTGCCAATTCTTAAAATGGTCATTCCTTATTCAATAGGTCAGATTAATTTGGAGCAGAATCTCTTATATTTTTCATACCTAAAGAACATTCACCTGTCTAGGGAACAGAACTATGAGATAAAGAAGTACTATTATTTAGGGAGCACCCTTCACGTGCGAGCATCTTAGACAACAGGAAAAAGGGGAAAAAAAAAGCAGAATTCATATTGTTTGGATTGTTAATTACTTGACAACGTCTTATTACAATTAAAGAACCAGGTGTCTAGTGAGAGAGATCATGAGATCCATTTAAAAAAAAAAAAAGTCATAGGAAAATAATTATGGTCAATCCACTGCTGTTCTCCTGGTTTCCTTCTCTTCCTTTTCCTACTCCATTAGTCACTTCTTTAGTCTGAGACTTATGATAAATAAAAAAGGCATAATAAGGCCAGGTGGATGTTTCATAAGGCATCTCTCATTTAGCCTCTTAATGCCACAACCAGGTACCCAGCAGCAGTAACTTGTTTTGTACCTTACTTCTGCCTCTCTGTCTCTGAACAGGGAGGGCAGAGCAAAAACACCACCTTCCTCCTGCAAAACAGATCAACAAGCCCACCTGAACAGGGCAGGAAGGGTCACAGCTACAACCTGCGGTCCCAGGAGGACTCCTTGCACAGGACCTTGGGAGCACGTTGGGAGTCTACAGCACCTGTACATGGCTCACCTGTTATCCGGTACTATGATAGTTACTAAGGACCTTTACCTTAACAAGCAGAAAGGAAGCTAACCTAACTAGGCTCTGCTACTGCGCTGCACCGCCTTCCCCAAGAGATATGCAATTACTGTATTTTTTTCATACACTATATAACCTCAAATTAAGCATGCCTCTTGTTTATGGAAGGGACAATGTAGGAAAAAAAAAGATATGTCCAGTGTCATGGCTGATTGTGCGACTCAGAGTAAGTCATTCTGGAAATAGAGAGTGCCCAGGAAGTATAGCACCAGGAAGTGCTCAGTGCTAGCTGCTTCACCTGGACTGTCTCCTGGTGTGGCACACTTTCTGGACAGCTTACTCTGTCACACAAGGGTAAGCCCCAGCCCCTTGCCAGGGCAGAACACCATCATTATTTCTTTTCTCTAAGTAGTTTTATATAAGTTTCTATCAATAAAGTCTTGTTCCCATATCACAAGCCTCACCAAGATGCTATCAGCAGCTCACTTGCTGCTTGAGGCAAGAGCTCCAGTTCTCAGCCAAAACCTGTGACTGGGAGAAGGTTAATATAGGACTCTGCCATCTTGGCAGCTGCATGGCACGCAGTGTCTCCAGAGAAGAAAACAGCTTCCTTGCTTAAAACACGCACTTCAATTCTCAGGGGCTGATTTTGGGTGGGAGGGGAGGAAAGGTGTGTGTTGTATATGAGAAAATACAGTATATAAACCTATGCCTATCTTCAAGCCATAAACTATGCCCAGTAGTTACCCTATTCATTTATTGGGAAATACCCTTCAAATTCCAGGTGGTTCACAAATGTAGCACAGGGCAGCATCAAGTTATTTTGCTACAGGAGCTTTTCACTCAGGCACAGTTTGATCTCAAGAGGATTAATTACCTGGCCTGGCGCAGAACAAAACAAACAGAGAAGACGGCAAGTGGCCAAAAGAATCACAAGCTGCAGAACCTGATGAGAGGTTCAGGTCAGCGTGGGACTTTGAACAGTGCAGCAGAGCAGAAAAATGAACTGGGGGCCACGCAGAGGGGGAACCCGGGGATGGCCATCTATTCGGCTCATCCTGTGCGTATTCTTAAAAGACTATATTAGAACAAAATTCATGTTGTCTTCATTGCACAGCTAAGCTATGTAATGGGAGGATTTGCATGAGGACAGGCATATATATTGAAAAATGTTTACTGCAGCCAACATTAATGGTGTTTTGCAGAAACACACACAATCAACAACGGTACAGGATAAGGAGGGCAGGAGTTTAAGAAACAAGTGTGGAGAAATGCAACTAGAACAAAGAGTAAAAGCAGCTGAGTCTTTCTGCTCCATGCAGACATTAGTTTTACAGGGTTTTTAAACATTATGTAATATTTATACATTATTAGCCCTCCAGAAGATATTTGTCTTCCTCTTCTCTATCTAGGTGCCTCAGCCTGCTACCCTATAGGCGAACCATGGCACAATGCTACTGACATCCTAGACAGTGCATTGCATGCCAATACCAAGATTTTGCAAACTTGATTTCAGCCCTATCTCCTGCCAGGAGTGCTCCTCAGACAGGATTGAGAGGGAGAAAAAAAAAATCAATGAACTGTACAGAATACTCTAAGCAGAGAAAAGGGGACAATATTTCTAATGCTCATTTGCAGATACGTTCCTTCACAAGGTCACTTCTAATGAGGGCATGTAGCAGGTTGTTAGGGCAAGCCTCATGGGTGCAATGAGTCTTATTCAGGTTTCATTCTTTATGATCCTGGTTTACATGTTAGTGATACCAGGGTTTTTTTGGCACAGATTCTGTTTTTAATTGCAGGGAGCGCCAAGGTAGCCCTGTCCCAGTGAATGGGATGACAAAGCATTAACACTCTCTCTACTCCTGGTAGATCCACAAGCTACCTTGAGGATTGGTATTTCCTGTGCACTGCTTTATCTCCCAAAGACAGATTTGATAGACTTCAGGCCCTCAGAGGCACCTCTCTTTTGGGGTTGAAAGTTTCTGTAGGAGCACATTCAAGAACTTCCCTTGTGCAAATGGCTCAGCACCCAGCTCCTGCCAAAGCCGCCTCTGGATTCAGGAACTAGGTGAGCTGCACCTACCTCTTCTGTTGGGCCCGATCAGCTGGGCATGCTCTGACCACACTTTCCAGCATCCAGGTCAGCACACAGTGGAACAGCTGGGGCTGCTTCCATTAAACACCACTAAGTCAGCATGAGATGCTGGTGGTGATGGTGCCTTTTACAGAGTAGCTTAGACCACTCACCCACAAAGCTGGAGACATTGTTGCTTGGTCTCCCCCAGCTTTTAGAGGGGGGCCAAACCTGCATCTCCTACTTGCAGAAAGTAGGAGGGTTAGGCTAGTGGGTAACTAGTGGGTTAGGCTAGGGCTAAGCTGGATAGGACCCCTCACCCCTTCCTGCAGCAGTGGCCACGGTGCAAATACAAGAAAGTAGGGTTAAGAGAGATTGCAGCCTGCTGATTTTCAGTCCTGGGTTCCTGTCCCTGCCCTCAGGATTATTTCTATCTTCTATCCAATGTCCAAACAGGGTAGAGAGGAGACTAGATCCACCCCACACACCTCCTCCGTTGAGGGCTGCATGCTTGAGAGCAAGCCCTGCTCAGTAGTTAGAAATAATTTATAGAGCTAGGCTCTGAATTGATCCCAGGTGAACACAAGGGCCTCATCTGCAGTCTTGAATTACATGGAAGCTCCTGGAAGGAGGTAGGGAGGGCCATGGAGAGAGGAAGTCTTGACACAGCCCTGAGCTTAGTATCTCCTATTGGCCTGATGAAGGCAATTCCCCACTCTACCTACAGCCTTCTTGGATCCCCCGAGGCACCTAATTCTCCCCGCAGGTCAGACATAGAGCATGGGCCCTTACTCTGGGCTTTGGCTTCCGTTCCAGAGCCAGGTACTTAAAAATGAGTCAGTGCAGCACCCAGCTTATAGATATCCAAGTTCTTCATATATCTAATTGCTCTCAAGCATCTTGCTGAGTTAATCTATGTGAGCAAAGTAATTAAGTGCCATGGAAAGGTAACTTTATAACAGGCCAGTGAAAAAAAAAAATCTAACTCTTTATTTTATATGGTGATTACCATGCATGGCCTCTTATTTCTTAATTCCTGCAGACAGAGGAAGATGTGATTGCTCATAATTGGTTGGGTCAGTCAAGCACGAGACAAGTACCAACTTTGGCGTTAGACCCCTTCCTCTACACTGGGCAGCAGGCAACCAGACCCGATGGAAATGACTCTCACCTGGGTTGAGCGTCTACAACTGGTTTTAAGGATATTTTCTGATCTGACTGTCTGCTTTGCAGCTACGGTAGAGCCCTTTGCTGTTGTGGCTGTCTCTTGTCGCACATCATTTTTGCAGTTTCCTACAAATATTTTACAAAGTGAGAACAGAAAAGAAGCCAAGTCACTGAATACTAACATTTCCTCTCCTACTTCATTAGTTGCAGAACCAAAGCAGTTTGCTTGGTACAGCCAATGCACTTAATTCCTCAAGTCATATCGGTGCATCTTACCTGCCTAGTCAGAAACAACCCTAGGTTGATAAGGTACATCAAATACCACAATACTTAATTCTTCAGTAAGAAAGTGATCTGCAGGAACAGATCACTGAATAAGGACCAGGAATTTCCATGACCCAAAAACTCTACAGTCCATTCTCTACCTACCTTAAAGCATGTACCAGGGCAGTGCTTCTCAACCATTTCAGCATTGAGGCACCCCCTACCTAGACTCAATGCACCCTTTTAAAAAAGGGAAAACTAAGAGCTGGCATTGTCAGAGTACTGAAAAATAGAGCAATTTTTCCGCTATGGAGAACTCAAGACGACCACAGCAAGCCAGGATGTTTTTAACACTATGGAGTCTAGTGTGAAAATGCTGGGGTTACCATCTTGTGAATTATATTTGCACACCTATGCTACAACTGTACGGCACTCCATGGCACCCACAAAAGGCTCTCGTGGCACCCCAGTTAACAGTTAAGAATCACTGTAGAAGGGCAGTGGCATTTATACTACAGGAGTCATTCACAATAGAACACCAATTTAGTATATTAAAAGAATATATTTAAATTAATCCAGATAAGTCTTAGAAATTATTATACCACAAGGGAATTTTTACCTCAAGTGGATCCCATAGAGCAGGGTGGCCAACCCGCAGAGTCCAAACTTCCGAGTCCAAATTGAGTAACGTGCTCACCGTGCGCATTCGCGTCACTTGACGTGATGTTAACAGCCATGGAAGCTCGTCACCATGTACTCATGCAAAGAGAGACATTAACTTCTGAAGAGCTGTACGTGGCTGTGGAGCCATGGGTTGGCCACCCCTGCCCTAGAGAAGCAAGGTACGGTGCAGAGTGGTAGAGGTCTAGTTAGCAAACTAGTAAGCAACCTACATTCAGTGCTTAGATCATGGTATAGAGCATTTTAAGATCTCTCATCGACATAGGAGCACAAGGAAGGGCCCTGCTGGACCTCGGAGTCCAACTGTTTGTGATCACAGGCAACCTCTCATCCAAGAATGCAGCCCACATTCAAAGCAATTTGGCTCTCAGCTAATCTGAGTCCATAAGGGAATGAGATTTGCTTCTGCAGCAGCACACTTCCAAAGCAAAACAGGCCTGTGGAAGCAGCAACTGAACTCGCTACTGGGCACTTGTCTTCCAAGTTTGCTGGGTTGATACAATTGTCTGGAAGAGTATTATATTAGGCGCCTAGAAGGCAATTTGAAAGCAAACACAATTTGAAATATATAATTACACACAATGAGGGAATCATTTTATTAGATTATGGAAGACAGCAGCAGTATAGTACAAAAAGTTACAAGGGTAGCAGAAAAAAGTATTTTTGGTTTAAATACTTAGGATTATACGGGGGGGGGAACAGGTGATGGATAGTAGTACCCTTTCTAGAGCTAACTCCTAATCAGGTTATCAAAATAAGTTTTGAATATTTACCACAAGTAAAAAAAGTTACAACAAACATTGTTATAAAATGCTTTAATAAATAATTTTCTTCTGAAAGTTATTTAAGAACATGTCAAACAAAATGTACTAAACAGAAGATCCTGCAAAGCAATTCCTGCATTCATGTATAAAATAACTGGTTTCAAAACATTCATGTTTATATTGTTCATTGGCCAGAGTTTATACTTTCAGATAAACATCCGCTCTTCTTACTGGTAGGATAACTAGGTGTATGTAGTGTTATGGTTTTCCAGTAATTAAAATAAACTTATAGTTTGCCCAGTTAATAGCAATAATAAAGCCTCAAAGTCAAAAAACAAAATGCGCAAGCCATCCCGTATGAATAACCATTTCTATCGAGGTACTCCATCTTCCAAGTTTGCCAACCTTTTTCTTAGAGCGATAGATGAATAAGCACAACAGAAACAAGAATGAGGAAATATTGTTCCCTTCATTAGGCCTGTATTTAAACGCAAAAAATATGTAATACCACATGTAATTAACATATTCACAAAAGAAAAACAATGCCTTGCTAAGTTGGTACTGTACAGTAGATGCATCCTCTAGTGTTCTTGAGATGGGCAGAACCTGGGAATAAACAAACACTTCTGGATCTATTTACATGTAAATGATTGTGTTACAATGTAAATACAAATGACCAACAGATTCCTAACATTGTATTAACATCATTTTCTAATTTGGACATAATACCAAAAAAGGGTCTCATAAACTGCCATAAAACCTCCCTTTTCTGCAACATAAATTAAAAAGGAATGACATGTAAAAAAAAAAAAAAGACAGAAATATTTTAAGTTATTAAATCAAATATACAGAGTGATTCATTTAATATGTACATATTTACAAAAAAAAAAGCATTTTCACAATTAGAAAATAAACCATGTCAGTTACGGGAACCTACAGTTCTCACAATTTAACTATATTGGTATGGCAGTCTTTGACAGTTGCTATAGAAAAAGTTTAAATCTCAAGGCACTTGTCACATGCTTCAATACTGCAATTCTAAAGTAATTAAAAACAAAAATAAAAAGGCCACTTTTAAACCACAGTTGAAAGATCTCTATAAATTTCTGTTCCTGTTACGAAGTGTGTAAGGCAAATTTGGGAAATAAAAAAAGGAAAACAAAAAACAAAACAAAACAAAAAAAAAAAAACTTACAGAAGCTACTAACGTAACAAGTGCTGTGAGCTGCCATTAATAGAGATTCAAAGTCAAGAAAACAGTTTAAGTTTACACAATTTCCTCAACCAGGAGGTTTTAAAGCCACCGTTAAATTAGAGCAAGTAATAAAAAGAAATACATTCTGTAAACAGTGTATAGTCTTTTGTAATAAACTTTACACATATTGAAAATACAGCCTCTCTCCTCTGCCATACAGCGAGTGTATTATAAGTAAACTTTACAAAAATAGCAACTATCAAAGATTACTCATTTTTTTTCCATCTGACAGTCATTGAATAATTTATACAAGGCTAAAGAAACAAAATAAACTTTTTTTATTTTATTTTATTATTATTTTTATTTATTTATTTATTTTTTTACTCAAAATAAAGAAACTATGAACATTTGCCTCCAGATATTTGTCCTTGATGCAAAATGGAGATGTCAATTTTCCCCTCCCTGTTAAGTGCAGGCACAGCGTGCCTGTGTTCTGAGTACAGGTTAGTCTCTACCGCCTTCAAAGTTTGATGCATTCACATTTTTTACAGATCTGTTGTCCATTTTGACTATCTGATAGGCTTTCTTTACTGGACTGCTCTCAGACGTGTCGGATGCCTTTGTTGGCAAAGGCTTTGGGTGTTTGTGAGAGAGGAATTTGTCCATTTCCATGACCTCTCTTTCCTCATCCTCCTCATCCTCTTCCTCATACTCCACATACTCCTCCACTGTATCACAAGTTCTTTTTTGAGGAGAAATGAAATTCTTGCATTCGTAACGAATGTCTTTGTTACTGTAAGATTTGTCTATCGGGTTTCTTATTGGATTTAAAGGTGCCCACTGGTTATTGGTACCCTCCTCTCTAGGTGGGCGGCTTCTTTCTCTCTCTTTTCTTCTCTTTCGAGTCCACCACACACAGATGATTATGCAAGTCAGCCATACAATACTACAGACAGCACAAATAATTGGAACCAAATAACCTAGAGGACAAACCAGAATAGAAAAGCTGGTTATTGATACTGGATATTTGCACTAGGAACTGGTCACACAAATGCTCTAAGAGCTCCCTTTTGAAGCCTTTTTGGAAAAAAGTAAATGTGCCTAAACATTGAGGTACTTTATAGTATTTCTGCTTGAAACTCTAGTCCTTCTTTTGACGGTTTCTGGCCACTTAAAACACTGCAATTGAGAGGCCCTAATGATTTGGGAAACAAAACTTCAGAGAGTCCATGTTTTAAGTGAGACCAACTGACAATTAGGATATGAACAGACATTCATTTCTGCTGGTGGACATTTCTGAGAAGATTTCATTGGTAGAAATCTTTCCAGGAGCGGGAGCCTACAGGCAGCCTGCAGATGTCCTCTCTCCTCTGCTCTCCATGCCTTCCCAAGACAGGGGGGATATCAGTGATATCACACTCCCCCCAGTCTCTGGGAATGGGGTGGAGGGAGCAAGTCCCCAGCCCCTTTGCTAAAACTAGGCAGTGACCAGTTTGGGGAAAGAGGCAGGGAGTTGTGGTAGCTGCTACGCTCTCCTCCTGGACCAGTTCCTGAGCAGCTGCTCGTCCACTCTGCTTCTGGTGTCAGGGAGCTGAGCAGAGGCAGTGAGACAGAGCCCACTAGATGTCCGCTTCTCAGCACCTGAACACCAGGAGCCAAGCAGACTGAACCCAATGGCAAAGCCCTTGCACACTCCACATACTGGAGATGTCAGTGCGTGTAGCAGGCAGGTGGTTTGCCCTACTGCCTTGGGGAGAACCTTCCTAAGCCCAGCTCCCAGCCCACTAACTTCCCCATGCTACCTGTAATTTAAGAGACAACAGGGTTGGCCCCTGGGCTTGGGGAGGCTTTCGCCAATCCCAATTCGATCCCCTCCAGCTTTTAAATAAACTAGGTAACCGAGGCAGGGGTGGGAGTTGAGAGCAAAGGGAATATAGAGGGAACTGGCAAACCCCTTGCATCTTCCCCAAACCAGGGATTGCCTAGTTTGGAGAAGAGACAGGGAGCAGTGACTGCTGCTAGTCTCCCATCCTGGTCTATGGGAGAGGCTAGAGTAGCTCCCCTCTCCCTTTCTACCTGGCTGGAGTTGGCTTTTTTCCTCTCCCAGAACCACTATTTTTGGTCTAGGAGGAAGAGCTTGAATGCTTCTGGTTTCTACCGGAAGAACAGAGATTCTCCTGGTAGAAACTGAACATCTGTACACGGCCATTTGATTTACCTTGACCAGCTGATGTCTGCACTGGACTCTTTTTCTATAGTTAATTTACAGGAAGTAAATTTACAAATGACCTAAGTGTCCACTGTTCCTTTCCCTCTTACTATTGGTATATGTACTAGAGACTGCAAACACATGCTTGTTCTTCATAGATTGTTATTACAGGCCTGCATACTGATAAGGCATAATGTGAGTATCAACGTGCGAGTTCATGGAAATGTTAACATATAATACACACAGCGTCCTCACAACATGCTTGATTTAACAACTTTAAACATTGATAATAATCTTGAGGATTAAAAAACAATACCCCTCGTACCCTTAGAAGTAAAACTGACAAGCAAAAAAAAAAGGGAACAATTTGCCCTTTGCTTCCTAAGAAAAATAATGACATTTTGCTCAATAAGCCAAGTCATAGCTTTTTCCCCATTTCTGTGCCTGCCTTTCCTAGTGAGCCTTTCCACAGCTTGCATGGCATACAGCAGATTATTTGCTCCTCAAGATATACCCTTTTAGGATGTTCTGGGACATAATTTGCACTGGATTTGGTTTTAACTGGTTTTATATGATGGCCCTATTGTCAGTGCATAATGATTTTGTTTTCTTTCCTGAAAATTGGGAAAGAATTTCTCAAAGGAAAATAAGTGCAGGGAAGAGAAAACTGCAAAAGGAAATTCAAAAGATGAGGCGCACTGCTTTTTCCTTTGAGACTGGAGTTAGTGCTAGGGAAGAGCACTTGGCTGATGTGAGTGATCAATCAGCCAACACTATGATCAAAATAAGTGTTCCTTCTCCACATTCTCAGATGAGTTTAAAAGTAAATTGCCAGATGATGCCTAGTTCTGTAGGATAAGCACTACACAGCTGCAGAATCTAGCTGCACAGAGATATAGAAAAGACTTCCATTTTTGCAGTGTTTTGTTTCAGAAGGATTTGCTTATTTCTCCCAACTTTTGAGATATTATCTGTCTTGTCAAAAAAGGCCTCTGAACAAGTTCCTAGGTAGAGGGCTAGGGAAGAGGCAGCCTATGAAGATGATTTATGGAATCTGCCCTGAGCCTCAGAGACAATCCATTTGGGACTGGCGGCTAGGGGAATGTGGGTTATTAAGGGATCATATTTGGAGAATGCAACACTCCTACAGAAGTTTGTTCCCCCCCCACCCCCACCTAACAGTAAAGAGAGCTCCTAACAGAAGCAAATGTAAAACTTGATTGGACTGGGACTGAAAGGCGGGGACAGGAGCCTTCAAGGAGGGCACCACCAGTCACGCCATCTTCATCTCCAAGATGACATATGAAGCTTGCATCTTCATAATGACCAGAACCCTGGGCTACTGCGCACTCAGTACTTGCACAGGTTTTCGACCAGGGACATGTGACTGCAAAAAAGATGGGGCCTCATTCATAGCTGGCTTTCTCCAAAAGCCAACTAATAGATACTTTGCTTAGATGTTGAAAAATGAGAGATAAGTGATTAACACTAGGTCAAAAGATGTTTGACCATTGCCTACAATTGTAGAGTCAGATAGTCATGGATAGGGATACTAGCTTTCAGAGGCAATCTAGGGAAGGAGTGGGATGCTGAAGTCAGTCTTAAAACAAGGCTAAACTGACACCACGGTAGGCAAGGCTTAAATTACAGATTATGCTCATTCTTAGGGGAAAAATGAAAAAAAGAAAAGAACACGGGGAAAATGTTCCTTATTGACTGCCTATTTTGAGGAGAAAGAGGGGTGTACTTATAGGCCTAAAAAAGACTGGCTGGCTTCATCTTCCATGGCATTTTACATTACTGGATAAATCCTAGGTTGTTTCTGAAGTGGGAGACTAAGCATTTCTGTTCCTCCAGAACAAACTCTTGTAATTCTGTGCACTGTGAAGAGTAGAAAGGGTATTACACACAGGATCAGAGTCTTGGCCCAATTCTCCCTTCTCCAGAAAACCCATGTCCAGAGAAGAACGAAGCTGGCAGATTTTTCTTCTTCAAGTTGAAGACCGAGTGTGTGGCCACATCTTCACAAGACACTGACTGCACAGCAGCCTGATACTACTATGCAGTAGCATTGTGCATCACAGTTTTGTCACGATGCTACTGAGCAGCAGCATCACAAAAAAGGCGCTTGCTGGCACTACTGCACAATAACTCTGGTTACTGCGCAGTAGCACCTCGTGTAGATGTGGCCCGTCTGTGTTAAGGATCTTGGAGGATGACAACGGAACTGGACACCTGCCAACCTACAGTATATGTGGGTAAGTGTTTCCCCAGAAAAGATTTTGGAGAAGTAGAGCCATGGGGTTTCTCCTGCTAATCTCAAGCCCCTGTTTTAGAATTTCCCAGTGGATTCCAAGTAAAACTAGATTTCAACAACAATTTATGTCCTCTCTGCTGAGAAGGGAAGAAGAAATGCTGATCTAAAAGACCCAACATATAACCATTTTTGTATTTGCTCTGATCTTGGGCACTCTGAGGGTTGCATCTAAATGAAGAGCATCTAAGTGCATCCTTTAATTATGCCATACCCTTAAAAGCAAAGAACTGCAGTATGAACCAGATATGTACTAGCAAGGGACTGTTATGAAGCCACATGAACAGCAATGACTAATTATAACAGGCCAAATATTAAGGAAGTGATAAGCAACCTTAACTCTTATTGATGTGAATGGGAACTGAGCATCTTGCCAGATTGATACCATCATCAACACCATTTCTGAACTGGAAACTCAAAGTATAGCACCCCCCACCCGACATTTTGTCATTTAGAGAGATGATTAAAATCAAAATATCAGTTCCAGTTACCATTAAAGCATGGAACTATGATTTGCAACAAGTATAACACTAGAATCTACTCTGGGAAAGAGGAAGTTGACCAACTTCTTTACGATTAATGCTGCCTTTTTTGCAGGACAGGAGAAATGCCGAAAGACTGGTAGCAACAGAGCCATAGAATGAACACAAGATGTCAATGTATCCACAGCCTTACCTGAGGATGAATTCCCAACAACTATGGTCTCCACTTTGACTTCAGTAACTGCCAGTGTAACAGTGCTGTTTTGTCGTTTGGTGATTGCATTTACTATAATATTAGAAGCGTTTTGTATTAGGCTGTTATCTTGTTCATCTTGGTGTGGGGTAAAAGACTAGAGAGAGTCAAGAAAGGAGGGGAAAAAGGTTACTGCCTACGAAGTACACATCCAAAATTATCAATTACAAGCCTTAAATTAGCTTTACTTGTTGATAATTACATTAATAATAAAAGTTAAAAGCATCACCCCTATGTAGTCTTCCAACAGGATAGCTGGTTTGGTTTGAAGTAAATATACAAGTATTAAATTGGTACCCCCCTTTTCAACTCTTCCACATGGCAGGAAAATTGCCACTACTACACAACAAAAAAACCCCAGCAGACTTCTGTGTTCCTTATACCATGAGCTAAACTTAGTCATAGTTTGAAGGACTACAAAATATTATCTAGAAGTGAGCTTGCACAAATATCATAATCTGTTATATTTAACCTGTACAGCCTCTCAGCTTGCACCATAACTCAACATATTCTTTACTGGTACTTGTGAGCAATGAATATCACTAAGAATATCTGTTTGATACCACACCCTCTGGCTCGTAACGTTTTATTACTTCTGGAAGCCTGGTTAGACCAGCTAACTTACAAACAAACACTGACATTTCCCATACAGAAACTCTTCTACAAAAGCCAAACAGTTCAGCAGTACAAGAATTATTTTCAACTACTTGAACTAGATTTCCCCTTCCCCTCAACGACATTTTTGGAATGCTTATTGAGCACCCTGGAGGTTGAAGATCTCATCACAGCGTGCACAGCATCCAACTAAAATGTCTCCACTTTTCCGATGTGCCCCAACCATAGCCGTTCACTCCTCAATATCAACCATCTAGTCTCTCTGCTGAGAGAGTTAATAATCCTGGATTTTGGGGATGTGGACAAATTTAGATTGATATTTGACAGACAACTTACCATAAACATTAAGATAGTGGCAATTTTCTACCAGTATGAACTATGCATTTCAATAGTTAATAAACTAGCTAAAATTTTTTTTCATGAGATCAAAAAGTTATGCTGAAATCAAAACTAAGCACAAGTTCCAGCATTTGCTTTTAAAATGAAACAAATGTTAAACCAGTTTTCCCCAGGTCCAATCTAGCAAGAAAACATGTTTATAGAAACAATCTAGTACTTACAACGGCAACTTCCACTGCATTCTCCGTGGAGTATGACAGGTCACATAATATTATCAGAGTCCTCTCTTTAGAAACAGTCCTCGTAGCTGGTAAATAGCGAATTTCAGAGCAGATATTTTCAATTGTAGTACCCTGTTGGAAACAAAACGGATTGTATCCTGGTGCTACAATTGGCTTCTTGTGTATGTATGTAACTTAATCCATTTGAGGGCTAGGAGCATTCTGGGCAAAATGGTAGAGGGCCAGGCTCTTTTGGCTCTAAGTAGTGTTAGGACACAACCAGAGTGGTTTGAACCAATAAGTATTACCTCAGTTTTATTTGTAGGTTAAGGAAAAAAAATTAAAAGTATTGTTATTTTTCCCTTAAGTTACAGGGGTTTTTTGAGCTATGGCTGAATGACAAAAATAGAAACAAGGTTCTCAAAGTACAGCTATAAATAGTTGAAAAAAAAGTTTTACAAATAGAGGACAGTTAGTAACCTTTGTTAAAAGCATTGATTTCTGTTGGCATCTGCTGAAGAATATTAAAGGTTTTATACCACTGGTTGAGTCTGACCTAATATTAGGTTTTGGTCTTACCTGAGGTACTTTGTCTTTGTTAAAAGTTAAAGTAATTCTAGCACAGTCATTATCCAAGTATCCAGAATTTGGCAGACACTTTATATTGACAGGAAGAGGCTCCGATGCACTGCATTCTCCCCAGCCAGTGCACGGTGGTTGAAAACATTTTATGTACATTTTCTCTTGGCATTCTTGACCAATGGGACACTGATTATTTGCATGATCCCAGTGTTTTTGTAATAAGCAAGGTTTCCTTCCACACCAGACCTGAAAATTAAAGAGTTACTATTTAAACTAAAATACATGGTACCTAGAATTCACAGCAATTAAAAAGTTAATTCATGGAGAGTGGTAGCACTCAAACTTCATAATCGGTGACTGAAGTCGTTTTTTGTTTTTACAGTGCTGTGGTTTTGGTTTTGATTACTGTAGCTTTATTTAACTGTAACATGTAGACTGTGGTGCCCAGGATAGAGGCTACATGGCATTCTCCTAACGTGGCAATGATCATATCATCAGAAGTCCCATATACTGCTTTTATCCCACATATCCCAACGCACTTGAAAAGAAGAGGCATCACCTTCATTTTGAAGATAGTTAAACTATTTGTCATAGTTCCTCCGAGTTGCCAAAGTCAGCCAGCATGCCAGCAACTGGGAATCTTTCAAGTATCAGAGTGTTTAGGAAACCTAGTCATAGACAAGGGTTCCATTGTTCTGTTTTGTTGGGGTTTTTTGTATCTACAACACCTAGCACAGACTGATCCCTACCCCGAAGAGCTCAGTTTAAATAAGTGACAGGAGCTTCATAAGGAATTCAAAAAAGTGATACAATACTGGTCAGCATGACAGGCAATACCTCTAACTTAACCACTGTTGCACTTTATAGACAGCATAGAAACAAAGAATTAAGGGGGCTGAGTTTTGTGGGTATTCATAAGTAGCTCTTTCCAAGTGCATTAGACATGATCCCAACAAGACACTCTACCAATATCAGGATAGGAAGTGATACCTAGGTGAATATTCAGCTTGTTTACGCAAACCCACTTCATTCCCATTCCCAGCGAAAGAGTGCTCTAGTCTAGAAATACAGTTATTGCCTTGCTACCTAATTCCAAGAGCATCTATGTTTTATGGAAGGTGTTTAGAAGGGTTACATTCATATGATGCCTATTCCTCTAGGAACATGTGCATTGCTTTTGTGAATCTAATCTAGTCAGTAAAATCAAATCTTATTCCACCGTGTATGAAAAAGCCATGAGAAACAAGATATTTGTAATATAGTTTTAGAGTACTTCATCTGCATTATACCCCTAGTCCACCTTCACCTACCCCTAGTCCTTCACCAGAACATCATAATCAAGCTTCAGATATTTTAGGCACATCATAGACTTTCTAGGTCACTTTGGCTAGGGACAGAAATTTCACATAAACTGCTTTAAGTGATCAGAAATCAGTTCAAACAAAAGTTTAGTGCATATAAACTACGTTCAAAATGGCCAAAACCAGTTTAAGATAAACCTGGATGGATGGGGCATCAGACTTTACTGATTTAGGTTAAATCAGTTTATCGAACTTCTGCCCCAGATCTCCTCCAGGTTCAAGTTAACTCAGTCCCCCAGCATCTTAGGATGTTCTGTACCTCCCCGACAAAGTCCCCCTTGCAAGGTTGGTGGGCTAGCTTTTGCCCAAACTGTCTGTTCCAGCTGAGCAGGAAGACGTGCTCCAGTGCCCACTATCTTCTGGCCCGGACAACTGCAGGCATGTGGCTGCATTTCTAGAATCAAAAGTGAATGTCTGTTCACTTGCTTATCAGTTCAATACATGCAGCTTAGACTATCCTGCAAAGACTGAAATCGATTCTGCCTCAGGCTTCTTGACTGTCTGTACTTAAGTCTTTTAGATCACTTGTAATGTTGCAAAAAAATCAAGGATGACCTAGTGGTGGTGAATAATGCTGGTATTATTTTTCATACAACTCCATCTCCAGTCAGGCTGCATCAGTACCAGAGTTGGACTGTACAGTAATAGATGCAAGCACTGTATTTTATTGATAACTGCTGGGAATCAGCTCAGATGTTTAGAACATTAGATGGAATAAGGAGAGAAACTGGTTAGTGGGCAGTGACACAGTAAAGATGCATTTATCATACACGGTTACCATCATCTACACCACATAGAAAAGATGAATGACCACAAAGGTAACTGTCACAAGATCTGTGCTATATTACCCTACTAAAGACCGATGCTTAGGACAAAATTTCACCCACTGAGCATGCTGTGTATTCTCTTGCACATCCTAGTTTGAAAAAATTGGCAAACAGTCTGCTAATTTCATTGGAATATTTTACAAGAAGCTCAAAGGATTTGCTATATTTTAAGTAGTCACAATATGATGCAGCCATCTCTAAAGAAAAAACTGTGGGTCCAGTTTAGCTAGAATAAAAAGCATTTCAGTAGAAAACTTAAATAGGTCAAATCATTACCTTGGTGCAGTCAATATGGCCATCTAAACAGTGGCAGTTGTTACATTCTTGGTCCCATCTGCTGCCATGAGGAAATGATGTTCCTTTAAGCCAGCAAGATTTTCCAAAACCAATCACTTAAAGAAAAAAAAAAAAAAAAAGGTTCATTTCTGAAACACTAATAATTAAGTACAGCCCTAAATCAAAATGATATAATTTCATTTTTCTAGAAAGCCACCATTGGACATCCACACTGTACTTGTTATTAAAAGTTAAACTGGTTCTTTTTTTTTTTTTTTTTTTTTTTTAAATTAGGACTATTAAGGTATTACCTTCTTGGCATCTAGAACCGACTCTTCCAGGAGGACAAGTGCACCTGTATCCATTTATTTCATCTATGCAAGTAGAACCATATGCACAAGGAGAGGACTGACACTCATCAATATCTGGGGGGGGGGGGGGAATAAATAAAAGTCAGCAAGACACAGTGGCAAAAGTTTAAACATAAGCAGTGTTTTAAAATCGCAAGCAATCCCACATCAAGATCTGCCATCATCACTTCCAATGTTTACTTCAGACCTGTGCAAAGTTCTTTTAATTGCATCTACCGCACCTGCTTTGTCTCAGCAGTTACAGCTGTCTAATATGGACTCACTAAGGCAGATACCTGAATTCTAGCCTGAAGCAGCAAATTCACTTGGCTATATTTAATGTAAGTCTACTTTAATTATAAGAATTCAGTCAATCATAAAATGATGCAGTGACATTAATCAGTCTAGTTTCTTTCCACGTGTTAATGCCACCAGAAGTAAAGAACAGACCCAGTAGGTTACACATTGCAAAAATTTAAGTTAACTATAAATATGGTGTAAGGATCCACCATAGCCTCATAGAAAATAAGAAGTTTCATTTTACAGATCTCACGGTCAGTTTTGGAAAACAGCCGTAAACAGTCATTAACATAAGCCCACACATTCCACGTGTTACTCCTGTGACAGCACTCTACCCACGATATTTTTGTTTCACTTAGCCATGTAATTTTTAATTACATAAAATAAGACTCCACTGAGAAACACCAATGTTATTTCTGCTAAAAACAGCATTTTTTTTTTTTTTTTTAAAGAAAAGAAAAATCTGAACAGTTCTACAGCTAGAAAGCTAGTGTCCTGGAACTTCCAAACAATTTCTACATAAAATCCTGCAATAGAGCTTTTGAGTACAATTTAAGCCAAGTCATTTTAGTTGCATTTATCAAATGAAGAAAGGGCTTCTGTCCCAAACAAAAGATCCCTTTATTTGCAAGGTGAGGATCAGTGTCTATGAATAATTCAGTTAGCTTCTGTTCATTATTTGGGGTACAGCTGACCTAAGCTTAATACATCAAAGGTCAAAGGGTGGCTACAACAAAGATTTTTGGGTCGTGATGGCATGACCTCTCAGTCCTTCACCCATGCAGGTACTTACTAATTCTGCAGTCAGGACCAGCAAACCCGGGTGCACATTCACATCGAAACCAATTCACACCATCTACACAGATGCCTCCATTGTAACTGTAAAAATAATAAACCTACCGTTACAATGACTGTTCTCAGGGTAGATTCGCAAGCCCAAAGATAAGCAAAAACCTTAGGTCTTTCATAGAACAGCCTGTTCAAATGCAAATTTCTATTGTTCCTATTCATGGCATTTTCTCACTATTGAACAATACAGAATTAAAAGTTCTTGCTAATTCATAATATACAACTTAATAAGCCATCTGCATTATTTTGTCAGCCTCTCCAATTAAACCTTTGTTAATTAAGCTTTCTGCCGCTGTTTAGAGGAATTCTTTCCCTGTACAAAATATAGATTTGGGGTCAGAAATAGATCATATGAAAAATTTGATAGGAAGTTTGCTCTAATCTGAATGTCTGTGTTTTAAGATGTCAATTTCACAGAAAACAAGTGGTTATGGGAATAGTAAAATACATATTAGAAAACAGGGAAAGAAACCTGTACTTTCAGTGCAAGAACGGGCAATAACTCTTGAAATTCCACTAAGACATTTCAGAAGATACAGGATCCATATTTGATTTTAATTTGAATAATATCTAAACATATTTCTTTAATTCTTCTGTTTAAGTACTTTGCAATCTGACAGGCTACATTGTTTATTTAATGAATATTTTCTCTTAATTTTAAAGTTTTCTGATCATTCGCAGCTAAAATCAGATTGTTATAACTATTCTTTGATGGGATCAAATATTTCTAGCTTAAACATATTAACAGAAATTAATTTCAGCTAGTGAATTCAAGACTACTATTAAAAAAATCCTACAACAAGAAAAGGTTCTTTTTTTTTTTTTTTTTTTAAAGTATTGCATGTTTACCCTTTATAAGAGAATTTGTTTATTATGTTCAACTATTGTGGAAACAAATGAGAGGAAAAGCTTTTTCAGTACTTACCATGGATGGGGGTTGCAATCGTTGGTATCTGTAATGGAAAGAGTAAAATGAGCTATTTTGGTTAAGTCTTAAATATAATACAACACATGTCTAAAAAGTCTACAGCAAGACAGAAGAAAGCATAACACAATGAATATTATTCTGCTGTCATCAAATTGTAATATTGGTATCAATATATTAAAACAACACTATTTTTTCAAGAGATGTTTTAGTTAAAATTCCAGAAGATGACAGAAAAATGGTCTAATATTAACTTTGCACAAAAAATAACAGACTAATGCAAAAACACTGCATCTGGCCATTTAATTTAGTGACATTTGAACACTTGTGACCTAGCTAAGTGAGAGACAACATTTCAGTCTTTAAGGCTGAAGGACAACTAGTAAGACTGTGATAATGATAGAATTGTTTGTTGCTCGTTCAATCAGCTTCTAAGAGCTTTTTCAAGGAGCATTACTCCTTTGGCTTCTCATTCTGTATGTATGCAACTGGCTTTTTAAAATGTTTTTTTACTGCATTTAACAAACTTCTCATTAAAAGTAAATAATTTAGAAATCAGTATTTATCACACTAGTATGCAGAACTTTAAACAACTTGAGCAAGACACAAGTTATTTAAAAAAAAAAAGGTAATTTCAGAGTGGATTTTTTTAAATTAAAAAAAAAACAACAAATAATGCAGTCCAGATGTAATATTTTCTACAAGTTGTGTCTTGAAGAAACGCAAACTCCAACTTTGCCCCACCTAAACAAATCATCATAAAAGTATGTCACGAAACTAGTGAAATGTTCATGTCAAGAATAAAAGTGAACCATTTTACCACTTCTGACAGAAGTGAGTTCATTCTCCTTTTTAACATGCAACTAATTTAAAAATATTTTTTTTTAGAGAAAAGATCATCATAAAGTTTAGAGGATAAACTTCCAAAGATCATTTCTGCACAGGAAGTTGAAGTTATATTGGCAAACATTAGGTGCAAAACAAACAAGCTCTTCGTTCATTGGACAAGCTTTGTCTTCCCCCATCCCCTCCCACCCCGAATGATTCATGTATGTTGCAACACAAATGTTAAGGACTTGCTTTGGTTTAGTTAACAGCTCTGTACCAGACACTCCTAGAAATGCAAAGGAGAAAAAAAAAAAATGAAGTCTTACTCTGTGTGCATGTACGTCCTTCCCATCCTTCTTTGCAGATGCAAGAAAAGGAATCACCACTGCCAACACAAGTTCCACCATTCATGCAAGGGTTAGGAATACAGCTGCTGTTTTTAGCTTTGATTTAAAAAAAAAAGAAGAATGTCAAAATACAATAAAAATAATTTAGATACCAATCCTCCTATCACTTTGCAGTTAGGAATTGTTTAATTGCCTCAATCCCAATTTTGTTGAGCCGACGACCAGTGTCACAAGATTTGGAGAAACCTTTAAAGACTGCAGAAGTAAAAGGATATGTAACAATTTCTCAGTCACTTGAGGTCTCATCCTAACTGAAAAGTCAATTTAATTTAAGCCTCAATGTGTGGAGTTTAATATCCATTTCAAAATGTACTATAACTAGGAAGAACTGGATATTTTTATCTGATTAAATGCCTATCTTTACATTATGCTGGTCCCATGCCACTAAGTTTCAGTCTACAAAAAGATGGCATAGTAAACACTAGTATTAAAGCTATGAGCTATAATTTAAAATTCTGTTATGTGGTTAAAAACCATGATCGTATCTGACAATCTTAAAAGAAAAAAAAATAATCAGAATCAAGTTGAACTAGAAGTAGGTTGTTGGCATCCCCTTTTTGTCCTGAAATCCCTAAAGAAAGTTTAGGGTCCATGTATACAATGGAAATAGAGCCATGGAAACTGTTTAAAATTTGTTTACAGAACATGTACAACCCCCATTTCCTCCTCAAAAGCAAGTTCAATGCATACTAGCTCCACCTGAGAAGAACAAGCTCCATGTGACCATTCTACCTTTCCTGTATCTCTCTGTAGTGCGTGATGGAGAGATCCTTATGATGGACTTCTGACTAGCTGATAGGAAAGATCTGAAATGGCCAATTAGTGGAAAGGTCCCTCCCCATCCATTTACCAATCATCTGAGCAATATCCAGAAAAAAAGATTCTACAGACCATTTTTGTCTAATGTACATCACTGAATGAACTAAACACTCACCGATGTTGCAAGTACTTCCTTTCCATTCTGGGGGACATGAACATCGAAAAGTGTCTCCATCATCATAACATGTTCCCCCATTGCTACAAGTATTTGCATCACACTGATATTCACCTAGAGGTTGCAGTAAAACAAATAAGCACATACTGAATGAATGAAAGTTAACAAAGGTATGAAAATATTTACTTGAAAAGTTACTGCAGAATGTTTAGCTATAGCTTAAGAGCGTCCCTAACAAAATAAAGAAAACTCTCTTAATTGAATAAACACAGCTATTGAACAAAAGAGAAAAAAGTTATATTTATTCTGATATCGAAGTAATATCAAATAGGTGGTACTTATTGCCAATTTTCTTTCAAAGTCTCTTAATTCAAAAAGCCCAGTGTTCTGCACGGGTGTTCCAAATGGGTTCAGTTGTCACAGGAAGTTTGGGGAAAATGATTAAGAAAATGGAATCGATTCCTCTACGGCTGAGCTCTTAAATGCTCATCAGAAAACTGGCAGTTTTGAGGAATAAGGAAAACAAGCACGTACATAACAATTGCTCAACATGAAAAATACTTACGCGAATGGCAAGTTTTGCCTTTCCAGCCATTCTTACATTCACAATAAAAGTCGTTCACCAGATCAATACATTGGCCTCCATGGTGACATGTATTTGGGAAACAGTCATTAAAATCTGTAAAAATGTGAACAGTCAACAAAATATTCTGGTTAAAGATGGATGAATTTTGATTTATTTTTTTAAATCTTCTTTGCAGAAAATTAAAAATGTTGCCTCCAGAGAGAGACAGGAAATGCTCTTGATTGTACTGGCTGTTAAGAAAACTCCAGGCTTCAATGGCAAAGATGGCATAAAAATAAAAACATTTAGTATAGAAGACTCTGAATCAAAGAAGCCTTAGATGCTCTATCGGATTTGAAACACTTGGGAAAGGTAATAAAACTAATATCCTGGCACTTACTCCCAAAGTAGGTATAATGTGAACAGCCATAGTGCACACTTTCTTGCATAGATCTCAACTTCAGTGGGCTTTAGATAAACCCCATAAGGGCCAATCAAGAAGCTGTAACCAAGACCTAGGAGGTGTTCAGTACCTACATTAAATTAAGTTTTTTGGCCTGTCTAATTTTTAAAAGAGTGATGTAAAAGCTAGCAAGTAACTTGACACTGTATGGGAGTTTTCTAGAATAGGAGAGGAGGATTTTTTCCAGCTGAAACAGGAACCAAGGTTTTGGTAGTTACAACATATTGACTTGATAGAAACCTCAGTCAAGACCATCACCTTAAAAAAATCACCCAAAACTCTTCCTAAATCAATAGGTAATTGCTGATGGATTCAGGACCTCTTCATATCTTACCTCCTTATCTTAAGGATGGCACTGGCGGTGTATACTAGCAAGTCCTAAACTCAAGTTTTAAAAACGGTTTTCATGCAGGGGAGAGGGAGGGGGAAATACAGAGGGAAAACAGGAATACCACTTCCTGCAGAACCCTGAATTTTCTTTTGAGATAATTCATCTGAGTATTGATCAGGCGTAAATCTTTGCTTATTAAGTTCTGAAAGTTTTCAGATAAATGCAGTAGGAACACACGCCCCTTTCACCAAGGAAGTGAAGGCCCTTCCCCGCAACCCTTAAATGAAATCGAGATAAACTTTGTATCCTATAGTTAACGATATGCACTAAATTACAACGTTGGATTCTAAACTCTACATCATATAAATTGTGCTTCTAGCTTACTTTTGCCATCTATTTAATTCCATTTATTCTATGCAGGCACTCGGTATCTAGATAATGCAACAGATTCTTACTAGTGATATCCCCTCTCTGAAACTTAAGTCCCTGGCTAGGTATGGCGGCTCTGATATTATATTATCCAGGACACTAATGAAAAATAAAAGGCTAGCCAATCTCTGGCTGGCATACTTTGGATTGTATTTTAACTGTACTTCTGAAGGTTCCAGTGGGATTATTTATAATTCTTTCTTAGAGTTCAACTGAAGAAAACATCTCTGCAATGCAGACTAACCTACAGCATTCTTTAATCTCCATCATGCAAGACAATTATAAAAACATCCCACCTGATTTATCATTAACCCATATTTCCTTTGATTAGGATTGGGGGGAGGGGGAAAAACAAACCAGTGATATACAGACTGATCAAGTTACTTTTGTTACAGCGATCATTGCACATTACTAGATTGTCCCAAAGACAAGTGTTTCTATCTTTTAACTAGTATAGTGATAATTTTTAAGCAGTGTTTAATCAAAAACACAATACTGCAAAGACGACATTACAGTCACATTTAAATTAGTGAGCACCTTGGAAATGATAATGTTAGGGTTCTATGGAACAGAACGAAAAACCCTACTCTAATGATGTTAATCACAGACCAAGCGCCTTGTACTGTTTTCACAAAGCTATAATGTTTAAATATAGAAATTCTTGGTAGTACCCACTTGTGTCACACAACTCTCCTTCCCAGCCGCTTGCACAGAAACACCTAAATGAATCAACTTCATCAATGCATGTTCCACCATTTTTGCAAGGGTTTCCAAGACAATCATTGATATCTAGGGAAAAATATCAACAATTATAATTGGACAGTTTCCATCCTGCAAGAACACTAATGACAGTTCCAGGTTAACGATGGAGCTTTATCCTCACGAAGGTGTGCCAGACAGCTCTGAAAACACATCCTCCATCTCTCTACAATAAACAGGAGCACAGAACTTGTTTTAAAAATTAAAAGTAGTCATGCACCCAACTGTTAGGGACACTAGTGACAGCAGTGCAAGCTTTCCTGCAATGCTTTAATGATAGGTATTTTGAAACTTCTTGGTCCAGGTTTTATCTCCATAGCTTCCTGTGAAAGAATTACCAAGGGAAGTCCCAACTGTGCTGAAAATACTCTCTCACTAATATCCAGATTGAAATCACCAACTTTTTCACAAAGGAAAAACTGAACTTTTTTAAGCAACACCAAAGATAAAGGGCAACGCCTCCCCCCACCATCATAGTCCCCGATGTAATTTTTTTGAGATTTTGTTGTGGCCTGGTAAATCTATGCCGTGAAGTCGAGGTTTTTTTTTGAAGGGGTTTTACTTACTTTCATGACAGTAGGTTCCAGTAAAACCCCTCTCACAGGCACAAGTAAAATTTCCTCCTGGTTGACTAATGCACTGTCCATGAGGCCCACAAACATTAGAGGAAATGAAACGGATGCCTTCCCGAGTAGCATTTGTGAAGACTTCTATTGTACAGCTGTCAATTACTAAGAATAATAATAAAAAAAAAAAGCAGGAGGGAAAGATTACTTTTAATATCTTTAACTATACATACTGTATTTACTGGAATCCAAGATGAGGTACTTCTTGGATTTGAGTATGGTAGGGGACATGGGGGAGACCATGCAGTGTGGCCAGGAAAGTGCAGGGGAACTACATGGTGTGGGAAGAAGGAAACTTTCTTCAGTGCCTGGGGGGAAGGAAAGTATTAAACAGGGACTATGAATGCAGGGAAGACTGCTCAGTAGTACGGGAGCTGCTGCGGCTCCAGCTTTGGTTCTAGCCAGGGATGCAGCTGCTGACACCAGAGCCACCATGTTCTCTGTGGCCCACACTGGAGCCACAGCCACTGCATGAGGCAAGTGGCAATGGCATGAGGTGGAGAGGAGGCAGGCACCCAGGGGAGAACAGGTGCCTGCACAGTGAATTGCAGTTGGGGGCCAGCCTGCCTGCCCCCTCCCCACCAAGCTACTTTCACTGCCACATGGGATGGGGAAGAGGAAGGAAGCAAATTTAAGATGACCACTCCAAAATTAGATTTTAAATTTATAACTTTTCACATATGGAATGTAACTATTGGGGGGTCATCTTAAATTTAAAAGTGGTCTTGGATTCAGTGAAATATGATTAGTTAAAATGTCAACCATGACCATGGCTTTTTAATCTTGGTAATAAGTGCACTTTTTATATGGCAAGACATTTTATTATAATCTAAGAATTTGCAAATTAAGTGAAATTTATCCTCCATTGCCTTACAAGTAACACATACTACAAACATGTTTCCCAACTCAACTACATTTTGCATGGTTCGAGACAGGACTGTAGAACTTCTAAGTGGCTGGGAGCCACATGAGCAGGGATCATGGGCTCAGGACGGGACGGGACGGGACCAGATGCCCAGGTCACCCCTCCCAACCCTTCCTGCTACAATCCACACTGCTGCTCCCTGTGCCTCACTGCTGCACTGGGCACCTAGGTGCCCTGACTCGCTCTGCTCCCTGACCATAAGTCCCATCACTGCATCACACTACTCGGGCACCCAAGACTGTGGGCTCTCCTGGCACTGACCACTGTGTTGTGCTGTCCTACTTTCTGGGGTGGGGGCAGGAAAGGGATGGTGGAAGGGGAGGGGGGGGGGTCCCCCTGCCAGCTGGACAGCCCTGGTTCAAGTTCAAGTCATGGTATTTCCAGTCACTACTATCCTCTGTATTATGCTGCCATTTAATACTACACTGCTGTTACACTAAGTACATTTCTGGAGGACAGCAGATACCTTTACAAGAATTGTTCTTGCAATGGTCCTTAAGGTGAGAACAGTTCTTTCCATCATAGTCATCGGGACAGGCACAGTAATAATCTCCTCCTAGATCATAGCATTTAGCCCCATTCTGGCAAGGGTTAGGTTCACAGAAATCAATATCCATCTGCAAAGAAGAGAGAGTAATTGTCACAAGCATTTCAATTTCTCTGTAAGCAGCATTATCTATGTTGCTATAGAGACAGATGATGTTATTTTATTGGGAAATTCAAGTATTAACACACCTATATTGCATTCCATTCTGCAATTTGAATCCAAACTGTGAAGTTATTTTAGTTTACAGTAGTAGCAGAGGTACTTGCTGGGAAATTCCTTACAAGACTTACTAAAGGACATTTTTGCAATAGCTTAGTTGTGTCAAAAAGCTAGAAGCGCAAGAAATTAATGAAGTTTACAGTGACTAAGCTAGGATCTTTCCTGATCCGCTCTCTACTATGGGTACATTCACGTACCAAGTAACAGAATGCAAATCTAATATTTACAGATTTCTCACACAGTACACTTATGTGTGCAGTTGTTTGGCACCATTTCCTTGAGCCTTTAAAATCCCTCTACAGCTGCTTCTCTCTCCTCCCATCCCTAGTGACAGTAAGAATTTTCCTTACTAATACTATGAACATGCACATTTAAGCAAGGTAATTTAAACTCTTTTTTGAATGTTAATCTGTTATGACTATTCGAGTTCAAAACTGAACTTAAAACACAAAAATGCACATGGAAACATTTACAGAAACATCCTTTTAAGGAAACAATTCAGCTTATTAAGAGAGTTTGATGTCTACTGCATTTGTTTAAACCAGCCTTTGCTTGTTACATAGTGATATCCTTCCTATAAACTGCTATTCTCAAGGGTAGTTTTCCTTTAAGAAAAGTTGTAAAATACTAATCCGTTTTACTGTTCTCCTGTGAAAAGGGGAGATTTTTGTTAAATTCAGTACAGATTTTTCAATCTATGCCTGTCATTTAATGAAACAGTTTAAATAGTCTGAAAAATAACTCTATAATAAAAAAGGAGCAAAAAAAAACTTTATCCAGAAAATAAGATTTCAAATAATGTAGGCATGCGGTTGAATTCAAAGCAGGATTCAATTCAAATTAGATTATGAGAATACTTTTGGCAAATTATTTTTCAGTTATTTTGAAAAGCAGTTCATGAAGATTAAAAAACAAATTGAGAAATATGCCCAGATCTCTTCTATTAGAAGTTTCCATTCATTTCTTTCCATTATTGTATATTTCCCAATACAAGCTGGTACGGTAGCATCTGGAATCGGTGGAAGATGATTTCCTGCACACGGTCTGCCAGCTCACCCTATTATTCAACAAATTTGCTAAAACTAATTGTGCACTATTCAAGAAACCAGCCAAGGGCACAGCATTTAAATGGTGATACCCATGTACAAACAACATCTGAGCCAAGAGTAATTTTATCAGTTTAAGTAACCTGTGGCCATTACCTGCAGCTCATTTTTAAGTTTCAAACAAAACCAGAATATTGTTGTACAGCAAACATACCTTGGAAATAGGAATGAAGATGTCTTCTACCTTTGTCTATGCAGAATTTTGAAACAGTCCCTTTCCTAAATTCTAGTTTACTAGCACTGGCCAATGTTGCTACACTAGTGATACTAACTGTGTAATGACTGCAAATTCTGGTAATTGCCTGAAAAAACAAAAAGGTACTATATGTTGATGGGAAATCATTTTCAGTGTAGTGTGAAAAGGATTGCACATCCTCCTTAGAAAAAACAAACAAACAACCAAATTCTCAGAAGCGATTTTAAAACTTGTAAATACTTTTGTATTTAAGCACCAAAACCTGTTCTAAGCAAGCCACAGTGCTACACTTGATCTACTTGATCTTAGCCTACAAAAGGCCGAGAAGTGATACTACTACTACGATATCAAATTAAAGGCCTTGCCTGTGCCAACACTCATGACACATGAGTATCTTTATGAAGTTTCACTGAAGTTAATGAGATTATTCTCAAATAAGCATGTGCTAGGAACATGCCTAACACATTTTAGTCTATCAAAAGAACATGGGTCTGCAAAAAGAAATGCAGGAAAAAATTATTATTTTAAAAATTGTTTATAGAGTTGTTTCAAATCATTGCAGAAATATCTGCAGTCTTAAAAAGTCTTATGGAACACTTCGTAATCTTAAATACACTTAAAGATCCTATGTGTATGCTTAATCCTTTACAGTTCTACACATTAGTCCACATCTTTACATGCTACAGTCACTATGATACTACTGTACAACAAATTTGCTTATTCACGTGGTGTATCACATAACAGCTGCATTAATCTGTAATGCTCTAGCCTTGGGTTGCTCTAATTTAAACCTGAGATGTGTTTCTTTCCAGAACTCAATCCATCAAAGCTCTTACAGCAATTTCAACATAGCCCTCACCTCACAGAAAACTCCTGAGAAGCCCTGCGGACAAAGACAATGGAATCCATTAACCAGGTCTTCACAACGTGCTCCGTTTTGACATGGATTGCTTGCACATTCATTTATCTCTATCTCACAGTTTTTTCCTATGAAACCACGAGGGCATAAGCAGTGGTAGCCATTCACCTCATCCTAGAGGAGAAAAAAGGGGGAGGAAAAATTGTAAGGAAAGGTTTTTGTTTTGAGGGGGAAAAGGTTTGGGGCTTTCAAATTGACAATTTTATATATTGTATTTTTAAGTACTGTATTTCACGGTGTATAGGTTGACCCCTGGTTTTCTGATGCAAAGTTAGGGTTTTCATAGGCACAACGTACAAGTCGGGGCTGGGCTTAGCACTCAGCTGGCATGGCCCTATCCCCTGAGTGGCAATGCCTGGGCCACACCAGCCAACAGCCCAGCCCAGCCCAGCCCAGTCCGCTGTGAGTGGTGCTGCTAAGCGCTGAGCCCAGGCCCGTCCTACGAGCAGCACCGGACTCAGCAGCGCCGCTCACAGTAGACAGGGCCAGGCTTGGTACTCAGCTGGCGTAGCCCCATCCCCTGCGAGCCTGGTACTGCTCACAGGGGGTGGGGCCACGCCAGCTGAGCACCAAGCCTGTCCCCATCCCCAGTGAGCGGCATCTTTCCAGCCCAGCGTGAGCCCAGTTCTATTCCATGCAGGTGGCTCTGGGTTCAGCATTCGGCTGGCACAGTCCCATCCCATAGGCGTGGTGCTGGGCTCACGGGATGGGGCTGCACCAGTCGAGCCTGGCCCCATCTGCGGTGAATGGCACTGCTGAGCAGTAAGACTGGTGCCACTGGCAGAGGACAGGGCTGCGCTCGGACTCATCTCCTGCAAGCAGCACTGGGCTTGGCGCTTGGCTGGTGCAGCCCCATCCCTTGCGAGTAGCACTGGTGTGGCCTAGGCAGCCCCGCTCATAGGAAATGGGGGCTACACCAACTAAGCTCCGAGCCCACCCCATCCCTGCCTTCTGCGAGCAGCACTGGGCTTGGCTGGCACAGCCCCATCCCCTACGAGTGGAACTGCCTGGACCACACCAGGCAAACACTAAGCACAGTGCCGCTCAGTGTACGCAGTTGAATTTTAAAGACTTAAAATTGGGCTTCAAACTTGACTTATACACCATAAAATACAGTAGATGCAACACCCAACAGATTTTTGTTTCATTAATTACAAAAAGAAACCTACACACAAAAAGCATTACAAAAGCAGTTTTAGTCTCTCCCCACCTCATCTTCTTGTTCATCTACTTGGCAGATTATTGTGTTGTACTGAATTGACAAGAATTCTTGCTTAAGGGTTTACATTCAGTGCTTTTTTCTATTTACAAATGCCTATGTGATTAATTTTACAAAAAAGTTACCTTACAAGTACCTCCATGTTGACATTGTCCATGACAGTCATTAATATCTGTGGAAAAAAGTAAGTACAATCATTAGCACTTACAGTAGAAGTTTGACTCTGAGTCTAAGGTAAGGATCTAGAATAGAAGTAGTAATACTAGTGACACTCGTTTCTTTTTAAAAGGGCAGTATTTTGGTAAGATGCTCAGGTACAGTGCAATTTATAGGTACCTTACAAAAAGTATTCATGTGTAAGATCTGTCTGAACAAAATAAGCACCAATTCACTTTCACTATTTATTATCTCACACACCAAAGCTGCAACATTTTGAAGTACACAATTCAGTACACAAGTTGTTTTTTTTTTTTTTTCAGATTCTGAACAACACTTCTGCAGAATGAACCAAAAAAGTTCCATTATGCTATACATATACTCCCTCCCCACTCCTCCTACCCAGTTTTAGCCTAATTTCACAACTGAATACCAATGCTTTCTGCCCAAATCAGCCATTTAGCACCAACTATATCCATAAATGGTGCTGTAAACGGTAGTTCCAATTTACTTTACTGAAAGTTAGGAAAACTAGATATAGACTTAAAAAAAGGTTTTCCTCATTAAGAACTACACAATCATTATTTATGATGCAATCTTTTTAAAGCAGTCTATCCTGTAGTCAATATACACACACACACACCACCACACATACACTCACACACACTAAAGAAATACTAACTGATATGACAATTTACTCCTTTCCATCCTGGAATGCAGTCACAGTAATATCCACCAATGAGATTTTTGCAAGAGTAAGCATTAAGACAAGGTTTCCCCTCACACTCATTAGCATCTGTGAAACAAGATAAAAGAAAGGAGAGAATAAAGAACAAACCCAGAAACAGATTTCCCTTGCACCAAGCAAAGCTTCCATGCAATGCAAGTATCAGTTACCAGAAACTATTTCAGTATTTTACTTATGTCTGACACTAAGCCGGTTTAAATACACTGCAGCATCTCAATGCACATTCGTTCACAGTCTGTCACATGCAAGTTGCATCAATTCTCCCTTACCCAAAACTTAACAGATCATGTTAGTTAGGGAAAAGCCCTAATTTCTGTCATCCTCATTACAATATCAGCCATTGCCACCATTAAATAGAAGCCACCGTCACCATTACTGTATTTTGAAACAGAATAGTACAGGCATCCTAGCAGAGCTAACTGTATATAGGTCTACGCTCAAAAGCTTAAAAAAGGTGCTTTTTTTCCCCTCCTTTTCCCAAAGTTTAATTTTTATAAGTATTTAACAGGAGGTAAGACTCCATCAGCCAATGCCTCATGGGTTACAGCTTTACTCAGATATCTATCAGGGTACAATACAGCTAAATACAAGTACTTCTTTGGAAAAAGGATTAAGTGCAAAGTGTCGAACTGTCTTCAGCAGCCACAAAAAGCAATTACTCACCAAGCTGACAGGTTGCTCCGATCCACTGCTGTGGACAGATGCACTCAAACCCATTAACACGATCAATACAGGTCCCCCCACGAGCACAAGGGTTAGATGCGCATTCATCAATATCTGTGAAGTAAAAGTGGTCTCTCAGGTAATTTTGGAAAGTAAGGAAAGATTTTCAGGCATCTGTAGGGAGAGTTGTGACTAAATCCTCTGTACTGCCTGGAAAATATCTACCCGTTTCTACTTAGATGTGGAAAACAGTTTGGGAATTTTTGTCAGGATGGCATAGGTCATGGGTCCAGACACAGCAACCCACTGTTCCATTTTTGTAGTCTGTTGCTCTGTATTGTTCCAGCTTCTCCTTAATAAAAGCTGGAAACTCTCTAGGACGTGGATCCTGCCATTTGTTTAACACAGTTGGACAACTGTACACTACTGTGTACATCTTGTTTTCTGAAGTTCACAATGATCTCACTGTCCACTTAAAGCCAAAAGATTCACTGAATTCATCAGCAAATTCGAAGGCACTCCTCTTAAGCGATTTATATTGCTATCATATTTCAAATTCCTAGTTCTGGATCAGAACACCTTTGTATTGAGCCCAATACAAACAAGGAAGAAAAAAAAAAAAATACAGCCTTTGGCCTAAAGATAAAGCAGATCAATGCAGACAGATGGGAATGCAGGCAGCCCAAATCTTTCCACGGGCAAAAGAACTAGTAGACCCTGGCCACAGTAATTATTTAAATAAGACAACGGTGGCTACAGAGACACCCCACACACAGACTTGTCTAAACGGAACGTGTGCTATAGTAGGGGATTTAAATTGTCGCTAATTGGTTGTCCAAATTGTACCATTTTAAAATGATAAATTGCTAATTTTCTTTGAAAAATTAAACAGCCCTTACCTAATAAAATCTATTGTGATACTGAAATGATTAATTTGTGTATTCAAAATAAAATTTCAGGTGGTATATACACCACATGCTGTGTTATATGAAGCAAGCATCATGGTTTAAAACTAAAAGGTTGAAGAAGTTGCAGGGGTATTGAACATGTAGGCCACACATGGAGTCACTTCATCTGACCCATCTGGCTTCCAGTGAGGATACTGGAACTTGTGGGGGACAGCCTGCTGTGGCATTCAGGGCCCTCTGCCCATGCCAGCAGGGACATAAGCAATGAGCCTGGCTTGCTACCACCACCCCCAGACCTTTTCCCCAGAGTCACCGTCTCCTCCAGATGCCTGTCCCCACTCACAGACCCTCACTTCAGCTGGCAGATTCTTTATGGGCCCTGGCTAGATTTGGCCCATAAAGAACCCTGCTGTTCAGATTCAGCCTGGGACCCCAGACAAATCTGACACCCCAGCTATATTGCATCAAATTTGTTTCTTTCAGTGTGTTCTTATATTTCAAAACCACTTAGAATAACATCACAGGGATAGTGGCAAAGTCTCCAACATATAACCACTACACAAAAGACATATGGTTTAGTATCTATCCACCTCACTGCATGGCATATTCATCAGAGAAAATCCACCTATCAAACCTTTCAACCCGATGTGTCAAGATCAACAGCAGTTTGTACCTACCAACAGCACATGTTGGTCCGCTCCACCCTGGTGGACAGTGGCATTTGAAGCCAGATGAGATTTCATGGCAGATCCCACCATTAGCACAGGGATTAGATACACAAGCATGCTCCGCTAAAAAGGTGAAAAAAAAGAAAGTCTTCCTCAATATTGTCTTACCTATTCAACCACCAACTATGGTTTGATTAATTTTTTCAATAGGTATCTTTTATTTAGTTCTAACTCGCTAGCAGCATAAAAATGAGTGGGATGCTTGCAATGATGAGAAACTTGTGTTCTCCCTTTCTTAGCTGCTGAGATGAGAAGCATGCTAGATTTCTTTTAAGAAAATGATCCAGGATTCTGCTCAGGCGGTACCATCTTACATATAAGCCTGTCCAATTCATGCATCTACTAAAAAGCAAGGGGCAGACTATCCAACATGTCAGAACATTCTTGCAGTGAGAGGTTGTTTCTGATCACCTAATTCCTCTCCCCATATGTACAGCTTCTACTGCCAGGTCAACCTCTGAGCTGCTCCAGTGCCTTCCTTTCCTAAAATTCACTTAGCAGCCAAACCTGATGAGGAACACCTTGCATTCAAAAGCTTGTCTAACTTTATCCCACCCATGTAGTTGGTCCAGTAAAAGATAACACCCCACAAAAAAATCCTTGCCTCTCAATTCCCAGATTAATCACAGATACAGCATTGCTCTAATATTACCAATGCTGTGTATAGCATTCTGAAAACCCCAAGTTCAAGTGAGTAGGCTTTAACCTACATTGTAGCTTCACTCTGCTGCTGTTCTTTGGAAAAGAACAGCAGAACTAGCTCTGCGTATCTAACCAATGGAGAAAGGCACTGCATTGCTTTGGAAGATTTAAGTTAAGTTTTACAGAAATTGGATGTCTTAGGTATTTAACATTTAGCCGGGAAACTTTTCCAATTATCACTGGCAACTGGCTTTCAGTCTGTCCTACAAAGGGCTTACCGATGTCTTGTATTAGATTAATTGTTCCTGCAAGTCAGGTTCTCGTAGGAAAAAGAAGTGATTCAACTACAACAGTTCACAAAACCCTAAATCTATAGCAATTATAGCTTAAAAAAAAAAATCAAAAAAATCACAGTACTGAAAGTGACATGCATTTTGAGCCCTTACCTAAAGAACTAGAAATTTTACCTACATTTCTTAACAAAGTGGAAAATATTATAACTTATTGCACAAGTGCAGCTAAAGCAAATGCTAGGTGCAGCTAATTCTGGATTTAGTCTACCAAATCAGAGGCCCATACAGCACTATGGCAGGAACAAACCTATAACCTAACAAGCTTGCCATCTAATATTCACATGGATGAACTAACAAGTAGGAGGGAGAGAAGGGAAGTGCTAAGGTGAAAGCACAGGAGACATCATTTCCTCTACCTGCATCCCTGATGACTCCAAAGCAGCAGATCTGAAAGTTCAGAGGTGCTGTGTTTATGCATGTATTAGATTTATAGGCTGCCCTGTCTGACAAAGGCTCAGGACACCTTAAAAATGTAAACATTGTTCTGTGATCAGACACAGGTATAGCAAATGGAAGAGCAGTATAAAATACCCAGCTGACAGTTAAATGCAGACCAACTGCAATGGATGAGGATGCACAGAAATTGAGGTGGTGAAATACATGAAATACTGCATGTGTGCAGTGGGAGAAAGTGACAAACTGAGCAAGATGTAAAAAGGGGCAAAGGGTAAGAGCACAGGGAGGAGACAAAAATGTAGAGATGTTGCCAGAAGAGTCAAAGCAATACCAAATGAAAACACAGTTTCAAGTGTGAAGAGTGTCAAGAAACCAAAAGATAAAGATACAGCATGATACTAACTGTGGGGAAAAGGAAGAGATTTTCAGTGCTGTGCTGCATGAGCACATAGCAGTTAGACTGCAGTCAGAGGGTTACAACAGAATTACCTTTGAAAAAAAGTCTCCTCAACTTAGAGGAACAGAGCTTTTAACTAAATTGTCTAGTCTGAACTAGATTTAGGATTATTCCATAGCAGCACTAAATCTCCATATCCAAAAGTGGTACTCACTCAACATGATGTTAAACCAAATTGTTCTACTGTTTTGTAAGAAGTGTGCAATTACTTTTCATTAGAATGAAGGTTAATGGGAATTCTTGCCCGAAATAAACTACAAATGCTCCCTTGGGCCTGTCTTTCTCTTCAAAGAAAGTCAGAATGCCTCTCCAGGTAATGTCCTATGTTACTTTAGTTATGAGGGGTGGCAGTGACTCCAACAAAAGCCTGCCACACCTTTAAGCAACAGTGGAAGATGGGGAGAAAGTGGTAGGAGAAAAAAAGTTGTGCCTATACTGACTTCCTAGAAGCAAATAGCACGATTTAATTCTTGGACGGAGGGAATGTTAGGAGACGCAATCGAGGCCTAAACCAAATCCTATTGAATTTAGTGGAAGATTTTCTCTTACTAATCAATAGTCTTTGAATTAAACACCCTAAGAGGGGAGACAGCAGGAAGGCTAACAGAAACATGGATGCTCTTCCCTCTAAAGCAGCGATTCCCAACCCTGGGTCATGGCCCAAGCGAGGGTCACGGGGGCAATGCCACTGGAGCTGCACAGAAAGGACGAGCCACGCCATGTGCTGGGAGCTCCCAGCAGTAGGGCATGGAAAGGAAAAAAAAAAAAAAAAGGTTGGGATCCACTGCTCTAGAGAGAGCCTCTTTTTGCTTCCCAGGAGGAAGACAGAATCTGGGAGTGACCACTTGCAGTGTTACTGCTCAAAAGCTCCTCCTTTTTGTAAAATAGGTTGGGGGTTTTGAGGTGGATCTCTAAAATCGCCTGCTGATTTTTTCCTACAGAATATGACCCAGAGTGCTCCAAATCTTTGACAAGCAGTTCAAATTCAAGTAGATGCATGCTATGGTCATTAGTACCAATTTCACAATTCTTTCCAGAGTAACCGTCTGGGCAAGCACAGCGATATTCATCTGGTTCTGTATTCATACAGGTTCCACCATTCAAGCAGGGGTGATGGTTTCCACAGTAGTTTAAATCTAGATTAAAGAAGATAAAAGAAACATGTCAGTTGATAAGCGAAACAAATCCCAAAGTCACTGTTCTTGTACCTAGTCAGACTTGAGTAACATTATGTCTCCCCACCCCTCTCCTTTTAATCCAATTTAATTTCAAGCCATCAATCACTAGCTAACCTGTCAACTCATGGCTCTCCAAGAAATAAGCACGGGGATGAACAAGAGACAACTGCAAAAGTAAAAGGGTGAATGCATCATTCCAAACCCCTTCCCTTAAAACTTCTGTTACTCATGATGTTTAAGCAACCGTCTGCCATAAAAAGAGTTAGTAACAGATGTATGCAAATAATTACATACTTGCAAAAAAAAACAAACCAAAAAAAAACAAAACAGTTGTTAACAAGTTACCAGTTAATTATGCAATTTTCTTAATTTTTCCTGTAAATTAATGTTAAGTACCTTTGTTACACAGCAGACCACCCCAGTTGGTTTCACAATTACATTGCCATGGTTCGTTACAGCTCCCATGAGCACAGCCTGGGTAACGGACACACTCATCACAGAACTGTCCTTGCCAACCATAATGACACCTAAGATGTAAGTGCACAGTAAACGTTAGCAACATGATGCTTAATTATCTGCAATACAGGTATTCAGTGTTACATTTACCATTCATTATTTAAACAAAGTTGATTGTTCAACATGTAACAAAATATTTAAGTGGTATTATTGGGGGAGGGGGGGGGGGGGGGGGGGGGGGAGCTGGCATACTACTTGTAGTGGGCAAATTGTACCACATCTTTATTGCAACTCACCAGGCACATAAGAAATTCTCTCCCAAAACATCACAATATATTTTAAACAGTGCACATATGCACTTGTCTTTTTACAACAAATCTGGTCTTTACACAATTAGATATAAACATGCTTCACATTAATTAAAAATGATGGGTTATATAAAAAGTTCAATCAATTGAAGTGAAAATTGCAGTCTCTTCTACCAGATAAAGAGGCATACTTGTATTTTTTTCCTGTGAAGATGGTTTGCAAGAGATTAGCCAATTCATTTTCGAGTACTACATATATTTCAAGACCTGGGGGTGGTCAAAGATGCAGCTATCATGTCAATTTTCTCAGCGTTATTTTAAGAACTCTTTCTACAGATTTAGTCTATTATGTTCCCACTGTTTTTCAATTGCTTATTCTAGGGTCTTTATTTGAAACAAAAGTAGTCATGCACATTTGAAAGAGACAAAAATAAAAAGCAATTAAAACATTTAGTTAATTTAAAAAGACTGTGGTTTAATGTCTTTTCACTTGTTTCTTAATAAACAATTATCCTTTAGATTATGTTGTCTGTAAGCATGCACTCATAGGGTTCAGAAAATCTGCAAGTGAACTAGCTGCTTGCTCCATAGGAAATACTTAAAAACTGAAGTCTGACTTTTGAATCCTTGTTTTCTAGATGCGCTCTCTGAAAAAGTAACTATAGCTTAGGATCTCCAAAAAAAAAAAAAAAACCCCAAAAAAAACCACCCAGGTATGCCACCTAAGATCACCACCAATATGCAGGATAAATCTTGTCCCTAGCTCAGATGGTCTTTAAAAATGGTATTTAATTCAATTAAAACTGTGCGTTTAAACACTGGCATTGAATAAGCTTTAAGATACCCTGAAATTAGAAATTTTTCTATTACACATATTACAATATTACCCTGATATTTATAAAACAACGCAAAACCTACAGTCTAAGTAGTAGCCTAAATAGAGCTGTACTAATAAAAACAACATGTGACATGCAAAAACTCAGCAAGTTAAACAGAAGTTAGACCATCACTTTTGAGGATCTGTACACCACTGCTTAGTGGAAGAAGAATATTAGTAGTAAAGCTACATTCATTCATGTAAATCTCCATGTCCCATTATCAGCACCCCTTGAGAAATGCAGTAAAAGAATGGGGCTAACATCTGAAGCTATCTTGGTGGGGAAGGGGGAAGAATGCAGAAATAGGGAAACCTGGTTCACTGCAAATTAAAAACACAAACAACAAACCAACCCTCAGGCTGCTGCACATTAATACAAATGACTTACTTAAAACTAAGTGCTGGGTCTTTCACATTTAGTCACATGAATGGGACACCTCCCACAACTGCATTTTCTACTTCTGTTGCAAACTCTTATCAAACTGTAGGGATTAATACCTCTGCATTCAGTCTATTTTCAGGGACAAGGCATTTAATTCAAACAATGAAAAGGTGCAGATAGGTGTTGCTAGGGGGTTTCCCCAAGTATATGAAGTCTAAGACAGCAGCTCTCTCCTGTATCATAAATATTGTAATCAAGTGAAGTGTATGTACAAGTTGGAAAAGTAATTCATTTTCCCTTTTCCCTAACCAGTACCAATTACACAGCCAGAGTAGAGCATTTTCCAGTAGTAGGATACTCAAAAATGGTATAGTAAGGCCTGTATACATTTCTTCCAATAACTTAAGTTGTTGCAATGCATATTACAGTACTTTCAGTTTGGATAACGCTGTTTATTATTGCCAAAAGGCAGTATTTTAATTAAGTTGATATCTAGTCTTTGATTAAAGCTGCATGTCAATGTAACTATGACAAAGTGTGAATCTTAGTTTGGAACTATTCCAGCAATTGCTTTTTAATTGGGCTGTGAGAAATTAAAATGTTCTCTCTTAAGTAGAATAAGTTGATTAACCAATTACGCTAAATAAATTGTATAGGTGTCCTAGAAGATGTAAAGAGGGCAAGAGTCTAAATATTTTTCTAAAAAAATAGGACAGATTTTTTTTTAGCACTAGTAAAACTACACAAGAAAGGTAACATTTGGTAGGAGAGGGTTACTAATAGTTCAGGACATCCAATGGAAACAAAGTTTACAGTTAAAGTTAAGTTACCACTATACCCCAGGGTAATCATTTCTACAAGCAAGAAGCAGTCCAACCAAAGGAACACAGTGTTTACAAGTCAAAAGGTTACTATGTGGTAAGCTGATCCACCTTCAGTTTACAAGGAAGAGTAAATTAGGATTTCCCCTCAAACAGGAAGTCTGGTTGCATCCTACATTAGCGGGTGCTAGAACAGCTTTAATTCCACTTCCTTCTTGAGAAAGATAATGTTTACATGGGTCTCGACTCACTCCCGAAGTAAAAATGTAATCTAACTGAGAAACTTACTCAGAAGGTTGTGGTTTAAAATGGAGAGTCATGGCAAATCACAAGGTTCAGAGGTTTACTAATCTATTATGAAAAAAATCCAAATATGGGGAAGAAGAAAGCTACATTTAGAAAACATTAACATTTATCTCTTGAAGTACTAGGTATTTGAATAAGGGCCAAAGGGAACTCTTATATGAACAAGCAGTGGACTAGAATTTTTTTTAAAGTGTATTTTGTCATAATGACTGGTTGAATGTACTTGAAGTTTCCCTGATTCACAGGTAATTTTAGGATCTTAACACGGTATAACATTTTTTTCCATGTAAAGAAAAAAACTCTCACTGTTGTAATGGGGGAAGCCAAGAAAAGCCAGCATCTACTTAGTCCTTCTCCCTTCCCGTTCTTTCAATTTCACTAGTACCATCTCTTTATGACCATGGCGATATAAAAACAAATCAGAGATAGCTTAATCTCAGCTTCTGCAGGGTTACTCGCAGTACAAAGGAAGCTACCATAAATAGACTGTTACAGTTTTGTAATTTCCTGGAGGAAGGTTGAAGCATAGGCATCTGGTTTCAGACAAAATAAGTTCCTTCGGGTCAAGATTAAGTTCAATATGAAGGGAGTGCAACAAGCAAGTTAGGATGCTCTTTAGTCATTTTACGCTTATAAGATACCAAGAGGTCTACCAACCTGCTTGGCTGCCCTCAAAACCTAAATGGACTACAGGGAAACTTGGCTTAATAGAACTCTACAGGCTAGATATTAAGCTAAAAAGATCAGTATCACCAAAATACACCGAGTTTCCACAAACTTCAATATATAGTAACCAAACCAAAAGCCTGTGAAGTAACTAAATATATAGATATTTTCAGCTAGAGTTGCTGAAGTTTCATCAATACATTTCAGTTTGTATAAAAGTAACTTGTATTACAGGTAATTGTGAATTGTAATAGCTAAATGAGGGCTGACACAGCCACTACAATTAAAGTGCGTGTTCAAACAGCAAATGCAAGGCCAAAATATCCCACGAGAGAGACAGTGGAACAATACACGTAGTATTCAGAAAACTGTAGCATCTGAACAAATCCAGTGGAAAACGCATTAAAAGGGAGGTGACACAGTAGATGAGTCTCAATCCTTTGATTGATGTAGAATATTAAAACCACACTTAAGATAATCACAGAAACATAGAAAATAGTGTTGAAGGGACCCCAGGAAACCAGCTATTCCATCCACCTGCTAAAGGGAGTATCAAACATACACTGAAGCATTCTTGACAAATTTGTTTCACTTGCTCTTAAAAACCCTCCAGTGATGGCGATTCCACAATGTCCCTGGCTAATCCATTTTAGTGCTTGACTATCCTAACCGAAACCTCCCTTAGCACTGTTTAAGCCAATTGCTCCATAACTGCACTTTATAAAACCTCCCTCTTTGCAGTAACCTCAAGACATCTCCCCTCAGTCTCCTCCAAATGAAAACAAGCCCCTTGTTTTTAAAAACTGTCCTATAAATAACTTTAAAAATACTGAAGATATTGGGAGTCGAGACCCAGTTTTTAGAAGCACGAGTTAATGAAAAGGAAGAAAAAATTATCAAAAAGAAACAGGATGTAAGTGTCCACATATGTAATGCAAGGTATTAAATGTGTAGTTTAAGGTGCCAACATGTCTGCTCAGCTACTGCTGAGCAGACAAGGGCTAAAATGCTAAAAACTGTATGATTTAGGATCTTATTTTCCAAGATAATGTAAGATCTTGCATTAAACTCAGCATTTATAAAAGTGGTTCAATACTCAGAAATAATCCCTAATACTCAAAACTTGTACAAAATTTCACCAGACATTTGTAATCAGTTCCCTTAACTAGATTAACTTGGTAGGTGGAAGTCCCCACCAATTATACGATGGGGGGGGGGC